AAAAAAAAAAAAAAGGACAGATACTCATCACACTATGAACCTCTGCCTCCCTTCCCCCAAAATCGACTAACAAAATATTTCAAATATTTCATTCTTTAATTAAAGCCTCTTCCCTCGTCTTCTCCGCTTTTTTTCAAGTTCACAGCCATTCTTTAACTATATATTATTATTATATTGCCTCTCTCTCTCTCTGTCTCTCTTACACGCGCATATTAAATTTTCTCATTTTTTCACAAAAAAATTTTTCATTTATTTTTCATTCAGAAAATTATCAGCGAACAAAGGCGGTGAGAGAGAAAGAGAGAAGGTACGATTCAAAACACCCAAAATAATCTAGACCCAATAGGCGATGAGAGAACATTTTCTCATAAACATGTAACATGATGATGATAATAATAATACTAATATACGGATGTAAACCATTCAAATGTTTCTTATATTCTTGCTCGTAATTTTTTTTGATTTTATTTTTAAATTTTTCTTAAAACAACAAAGGGAAGAGAGGGGTCGTCTATTTACATCAACATATATAAATAGTTTACTTATTAAAAGATCAAGTCTTTTAAAAAACTGTTTAAATAATTATTACAGTTCCCTAAACTAAACAAACCATTAATAATTATTTTTTTAAAAGAGTTACTCAAATTTTAATAAGAGAAAAGAATTTTTATTTATTTTTTAACAGTCCAGTTTTCTGTTATCAAGTCATTCACTTATTTTAGTACAATTATTATAATATTTTGATTCCTTAAGTAATAATCATTCTTTTTTTTTTAGTAAGGAGATAAATAAAACAGAAAACAGATTGTATTCTATTTTATTTGTTATTATTATAATCATGTCTGTACAAACTGCATCCGAAGGTTATTATACCCACGGGTTTCAAAGCTCTTCAACTACTTTAGTGGACACTAATACAATTAATATTAAAGCTAATAAATCTGATGATGAATTATCACAATTTTTACAACAACTACGGTTAGAAAATCCAGAGTTTAAGATTTTACCACATTTACCTGCTCATAAAACAATTAATGAACAATTAATTTCTCATATTACAAACATTAATGACGAAACATGTCTACCTGGTGAAGAAAATTCTTTCTTTGTTGGCGACTTAGGTGAGTTAGAAAATTTATATAAAAACTGGAAATTTCAACTCCCTAGAGTTCAACCATTTTATGCTGTTAAATGTAATCCAAATCCAATTATTCTAAAAAGATTGGCAAAATTTGGTGTTAATTTTGATTGTGCTTCAAAATTAGAAATTGAAACTATTTTAAATTTAGGTGTTGATCCTTCAAGAATTATTTATGCTAATCCCTGTAAAATGTCATCATTTATTAGATTTGCTAATGACAAGAAGGTTTTAAAATCAACTTTTGATAATGTTGAAGAATTATATAAGATTAAGAAATTTCATCCAAATTCTGAATTATTCTTAAGAATTGCTACTGATGATTCAACAGCACAATGCCGGCTTTCCACCAAATATGGTGCCGACTTAGAGAATGTTAGAGAATTAGTCTCTAAATGTAAAGAATTAGAATTAAATTTATGTGGTGTCAGTTTCCATGTTGGTTCTGGTGCAAATGATTTTAGTACTTTATATAAAGCCACAAGAGACGCTAAATGGGTTTTTGATATCGTTGAAAATGAATTTAATATGCCAGCTTTAAAAGTATTAGATGTCGGTGGTGGTTTCCAATTAGAATCATTTAAAGAAGCTTCATATGTTTTAAATATGGCTTTAAATGAATTTTTCCCAATTGGTTGTAATGTTGATATTATTGCTGAACCTGGTAGATATTTTGTTGCATCTACTTTTACATTGGCTACTAATGTCATTGCCAAGAGAAAAGTTAATGATGAGGAATCAATGATCTATATCAATGACGGTGTATATGGTAATATGAATTGTATCTTATTTGATCACCAAGAACCCGTACCTCGTACTCTATATCATGATAACGAATTTCATTACTTCGATAATGAATCAACCTCTAAATTATCCTCGAAACAACATCCTTTCAAAGTATCCATTTGGGGTCCTACCTGTGATGGATTAGATTGTATCACTAAAGAATATCACATGAAACATGATTTAGTGGTAGGAGATTGGTTATTTTTCCCAGATTTAGGTGCCTACACTTCATCTGCTGCTACTGCATTCAATGGATTTGAACAAGCTGCTACTATTATCTTCATTAACGAAGGTGGTGAAGTAGTGAAAGAATAAATTTACACAACTATTCAAACATTTAGCATATCTGAAATCATAAGAAAGAAAAGAAAAGAAATATCCATATAAGAAAAAAGATAATGAAGTATTTGCAAAAAATGCAAACTAAAACTAACAATAGTTGTGTAATCATTCACTTCCAACACACATCAACAACATATATATATATATATATATATATCTGTATTTTTTTATTAGTCACTATGTATCCCTGCAAAATAAATATTTTCTTTCTCTCTATCAAACATTCCTAATATAACTATTGTTATCTTGCTCATCATGAAGTTTCATCTATATTATGTCTTAATAGCTTTCTATAAGAATTTCATCTTTCGCGTAGCGAAACTCTCTCTATTTTATATAGCTCACTTCTGGGACTCATATAAGAGAGTCATTTCGATTAGAACTCTTTCATTTAAATGACTTAGACAAAAAGAGTGAAAAATTACAGAATACTATTTAGATAGCCACTACTCTAGACGCTAGAACAGTACTGTACCCACAGTAGACACACACACACACACACACACACACACACACACACACACACACACACA